AGGTAAGGCACGTCAGCGTATATGACGGTTCCGTATAGGATGCAGGTTCGAATCCTGTCAATGAACGAATATTTTCTATGAAAATTTCTCGGACATTCAGGCCGGTAAATGTTATTTAATACTGTTTATCATAAACAAAGCATTTGCTTAAATACTTGTATCTATAAAATAACAACGTTAAACATAAATAAAAATGTCTTTAATAAATAAATTGTCGGACCTTGTCCATTTCTTAACATATGACGTCATTTGTTTACATTCGATACGCCAGAGCAGTTATGAATGTACGAGATTCATGGAAGATGATATATTTAATACTGTTTATCATAAACAGAGCATTTGCTTAAATACTTGTATCTATAAAATAACAACGTTAAACATAAATAAAAATGTCTTTAATAAATATATATATATATATATGTGTGTGTATGTATTTTTATGCGTGTGTGTGTCTGTGTGATCGGTTGTTGTTTATGCATTTCCACAGTTTTCATCCGATGACATATTTTGTTTGATAGATAATTCTTCAGTGCCTGTTTTGAGTCCAAATTGTTGGCGACAATGGATCTCCACTACTTCCTGTGCATTATAAATCTCAGCAACGTTTTACTCTTTGTTCTTGGATATATATCATTCATAAACACTTTAATAAAAATAGATAGTTTAAATTATTACAATAATATCATTTATTATTATACAGTTCCCCCTTTTAAGAGCCACCTCCATTCAAATTGTTAAACCTCCACCTTTGGGGATGTGCCTGAGTTGTACCCAACTATTTTTACTAATATTGATATTCTGGTGGGCAGAATTTAATCTTAAACAGCTCCAATTGAACTAATTCCTAATAATGAAAGACCCGGACATAGACGGGTTAAACTGCTAGTATCTATCTATCTATCTATATATATATATATATATATATATATATATATATATATATATACATGAAGCACAGAAAAAATGTGGAGAGTCATGATCACCAATGTCCGCTATATTAATTTAAGTTTAATTGAGAAATGATTGAAGAAGCATATATTATGGTCTGGAAAGTTATGTCAATGTATCCGCAAATGGTTGCTGAAGATACCTCCACCTACACTAGAAGTAATCATTTTATGCTGTGATTTGTGAAAAGTTTATTGAAAATTATATCAAAACACACGCTTTCACAATTTAAATAATTTTGCCTAATCGATACCGTATATCCATGTGTATCATGCGGCCTAATTTTGAAGATAATCTGACTACAGTAAATGGATAATTTCTTCAACGGTGTAGGCAGGGCCAGCAATTCATATGCTCATATTATATTTGGTAATTGATGCGACCCACTTAAAAATATGTCTCATAACTTTTTCAACTTTCCACTCAAAATTGATCTTTATATAGAAAAAAATATATATCGTTAACCTATATATATATATCGATAACCTATATATATATATATATATATATATATATAGATAGATAGATAGATAGATAGATAGATAGATGGATAGATGAATCTTTGACGTACATTCATATCTGCTCATGGCGTAAACAAATGACGTCAGAAATTATGAAATGGACAAGGTCGAATATATTGTATTTGTACTTAATTCTTCTATATGAATGTACGTGAGAGATTCATAGAAGATTGAAGTTCAAAACAGTAAATTCGATATATAAATATATATAAATATATATATATATATATATAGAGAGAGAGAGAGAGAGAGAAAGAGAGAGAGAAATATATATAGAGAGAAAGAGAGATATGGAGAAATAGATAGACAGAAACATATATATATATATATATATATATATATATATATATATATATATCGTGACTTAACACCCTACACTCGCCTACCCATTTTAGACAATTCGCCCTAGCTGTTACCATGGCGATTTTGATTTCAATTTTTAAAACAAGTAAATTTCAGATATACGTTATTCCAACAAAAATTTCGCTTGAAGATGGAACGGAGCCCTTTTTAATTTCAACTCAATTTAATTTAAAGGATTATATTGAAGTTTTCGGCTCTTGTTTTGAAACATGAGACCTCTTATGTAGCGATTTGGAATCATATTTCTAAATAATTTTTTTTTTTTTTTTTTTTTTTTTAAGCATTTCACCCCAAGCAAGGCGGGGGAGCCACTAGGACGCAAGGTTACAGAAAATAGGAAGATCAGATAGGAGTGATAGAAGAAAGGATGAGGGTAGTAGATAGGCAACTGGAGATGTCGATTGACATTACACTTGAATAGCTGGAGATTATAACTCTCAGGGAAACAGGAGAAGGGAAGAGAGTTCCACAGGCGAGAGGTGCGAGACATGAAGCTATTAGAGTAGAAGAGACGGCTACATTTATGAGTTTCTGACAGTGAAGGGGTGAGAGCGGGATGCCAGCCTGTAGGGCGCTTGAACTCATGAAGTTTGGGGAACCAGTGAATGCAGCTCCTCGGAGCAATTACCATGAAAGTATTTGTAAAACAGACAGAGGGAGGCGACGGC